CAGGTCTCAGTCATCATTCTGCAAAGCTGCTGACACCTCTCCCTTTCATGATGACTAGCAGGAACCCAGAGACAAGGCAGGAATCAAGGAGACAGGTTCCACAGCAGGAACAAAGACAGGACTTTTTGCATTTTCTTTGCTGTCATACCTGTTACTTCTAAAGTGTCAAATGGACTAAAAGAACTGGTACTGTCATGAATTTTAGCCTTTTCCATGACTTTACAGCTCACCCTGCTCCAGCTTAATTCTACACATCAAGATAAAGGGATAGTTAACATTTTGACTCGTAAGCAAAAATTGATTTTCCATTTTTGAAAATTTTATTTTTGTGAGAGTTAGCCCCTGTTCTGTATCCATGTGGTACTAAGGAAACCATAAAGTCCCTATACAGGTCCCAGTGGGCATGGAATCAAACTGGTGCTGAGTCTCCTTTTTGTTCAGTAAAAGCATTTCAATACAGGTGGCTGCCATCTCTCTGCCATACAATGATTAACATGTTTTCTAATACAATTTTCAGGTGTCAGCTTGCAGGTCCAGCCAGAAAGCAAAATCCCTTTCATCAGGACGTGCCAGCCCAATGAACCTTAGAAGACTTGAACGGGAACCATCCTCTGCCAAATAAATTTCCTTGACAGCTGAATAATTCTCCTGGAAGAAAAGGGGAGAGAACAGGAGTCTGTTCACCTGAGTGCCCTTGACAGAAATGCATAAAGGACAATAGCATTTTTTTAAATGCTGAGTTGCAGGTAAGTCTGATCACGTGGAAATTATCAGCTTCTCTCCTTCACACCAGGAGGGCTTGTCAGCTTGGGGCTAAGAAGCAAAGGATAAAAGTTTGGCCACAGGTCTGAAGGGTGAAGATCATTCCTAACCCCTTAGCTTTTCTGCTATTGTTTTTTTCCTTTGGGTACTACCTCTGCACAATTTTACAGGAAGAATAAACTGCAACACTGCAGTGGAAGTAGAGGTGACCAGACAGAACCTCTGAAACATCTACCATTATCACACAATATCCCCCCAATTAAAGAACCAGAAGACAGATTGTTCAAAATTCAAAAGAACTAGAAGACCCAAGATAAAAATCAAGGCACATTATTCTCTGTATTTGTTAGCTGAGCACTTCACAACTTGTGGAAGTCTTTGGCATTGCTCACTGCTCTCTGTAAAGCATCATTTTGTAACAAGGACAGATCTTGAAGCCTGTTTTGTAAATGTTGCACCAGAAGAGACCACAACTATATTGAGCATGCAATAATAACTTAAAGACATAACTGTACTTCAGACACAAATCTACATATTAGTGAAAACAGTACCGGAAAGCAAATTCTATTATAATCATCTGCAGGAAAAAAAAAAAAAATAAGGCAGACTGTAGCAATTCTGGGACACCAGCTAGGTCAGGGAAACCCTTAGTCTAAACAAAGATGTCAAGAATACTTAAAGAAATACACAGTAACTTGTGGACTGCCTTTTAAAATCCCTAAAGCTTAATTTAAATCCATAGCCAACACACAATGAAACACAATTTTTTCACTTTTCTGTAACCATGAAAAATGCTTTTTATTTTTCAAATGCAAACAAAACAGAGTTGAGCAAATTTTAATCTCTGGAGGACCACAAACAGAAATTTCCATTTGTGAATCCCTTTCTGCAGAAGAGCTATATTGTACTCTCCTCCTGATAAAGCTCAGGCCTGAAATCTGAGCTCCGCTTCAGATGGATGGCAGTACATTTTGCACACTTGGTAGTAGTGCTTTTCAGATTGCCTGTTCTGACACATGGCAGGTTTAGAATTTACCCTATTAAGTTACGACATTCATTTCCGAGTGCTTGCACAGCTGAAATGTTCAGACAAGCATGAGTGAAGGAAGGAAGGTGAGGACAAGGATTGCATTGAAAACATAGCATGATAGTTCTGGATTATACCTTTTCATCTCAAAAGATATAAGAAACAGAGATGGTAAATCTTATGTCCAATATGTAACTCTGCTTATCGCTATATACATGAAAAAGAAATATATTTTCTGACTGCAATTTTCGAAAATGGAGAAAACTAAAAAATCCTACATCCTCCTTGATTCTGGAGGATGTGTCTCATCTGAGACAATGCAGTGCCCTCTGCGGGTTCTCCTCTCGTATTACAGTCACAGGAAGTAGATGCCTTGGAGTATCGTGAAATTTTCTCTGCTAATCTTTGTAATTATTCTCTAAGTACTGTGAGATGAAAGGACGACATAAACTAAATAGAAATAGTCTTTTTTTTAAGTAATAATAATGCTGTTAATTTATCTAAAAACCTTGGAATTACAATAGATGTGCCGTGTTAAAAGTCTCCTATGAAGACAGACTGACAGAGCTGGGGTTGCTCAGCCTGAAGAAGAGAAGCTCCAGGAAGATTTTAAAACCCCTTCCAGTGCCTAAAGGGGCTCTGAGAGAGCTGAAGCTGGAGAGGGGCTCTTGATTGGAGTGTAGTGGTAGGATGAGGGATAGAACTTTAAACTGAAAGAAGGTATGTTTATATATTAGTAAGAAATTTTTTGCTGAGAGGGCAGCTGGGCACTGGCACAGGTCACTCAGAGAAGCTGTGGCTGCCCCATCCCTGGAGATGTTCGACACCAGGCTGGATGGGGCTCTGAGCAACCTGATCTGGTGAAAGGTGTCCCTGCCCATGGCAGAAAGTTGGAACAGGATATTTGTAATCCCTTCTAACCCAAACCATTCTGTGATTCTGTGAAATTATTCACTGCTTAGGTGATGGAATTACTTAAAAGCATAGGAAACACGTAACTACCACCTAAGCAGGTGTTCTCCAGAAGAGTCTACCAATAGTTTTTACAGGAATTTCACTTGGTTTAATTAATAACGTTAGCAGGAGCAAGTACCATTGCAAACCCCATTAGCACTTAAAAAATCAGAACGGAGATTAAATCCCATCATACAAATTTATACAAAGCTTTTGCTTCCCTAGCACCTGAACACGTACAAGCTAAACATTTGAAACCATAACTGCTTTGGGCATAACACTTGAACACACAGCCATAAACTCAGAGATAGTAACATGGGAAGCATGACAAAACTTGTTCCTTGATCTACTTTTTCATGTAATAGAGAAGACAGAGATATAAATTATTTTAAATCCGCTTCATTTTCAAAAATTAAGTATTCATGATAAATGACCTCAGGATTTTTAAGGGGTTCTCCAAAGGACATGAAATTCTAATCAGGGTATGTTAACACTTACTGAACTTCAGAACTTGTACATAATTGAGCTATGCAGCATTAATACATCACAGTAAATTTTGCCAGCAAACAGATTGATGAGTTACAGGAGTTAGTTTCTTTTTGTATGTGTAAAATCCAGACAGAAAAAAACAAATGTTTTTTTCTGAGGAATCAAGAAAAAATATTCATAAAGTTGTCATTTTCCTTCCTTTGTATACACAATGATTCAGTGGCGTGAAAACCCCTTTTAAATATATCACTGAGCAAGGGGAAATGTCATAGTAATAAAAGTCAGTTTCAAGACTGCAAAAAGCATTTTTTATTGAGATAGTTCTGCCCTGTATCAGAAAATAGGGCAAATAGATCCATGGATTTTATACATGTGTGCATGCATGTGTAATAAACAAACATGATGGCCAGTTGGTTTTAGGGTAATTCTTTCTAAGGTACTGAAAAGGAAAGTTCTGGGTAGACACACAAGACATTTCAGTAGAATTTCACAGCCCAGGGAGAGCACAACAAACATCTGCTAGCTCATCAGATGTAACCACAAACAAAACAAAGACACTCTGACAAGTCACAGAGCAAAATAGAGTTAATAACCAAAGTGGCAGTGCTCCAAAAGCAAACCTGGTGGATCTGTTCAGAACAACCCAGGAAAATCAGCAGACTGACTTTGCAGACAAGATTAAAGGAAATACTGTCCTTATTAATATGCAGCCTTTCAACAATTTCAACATTAATGAGAGCAACATACCATTAATATTTTAGCCACCTAGATTTTTTTTTCCTACTATACAACAGTATTTCCTCCCAAGAGAAAATACCTGATTTTGCTGCTTTTACAAAAAATGCTTAATGCTTCCAGCAATCCTAGGTTTCTAGCAATCCATATTTTTCTCCACAATGTCTTTGCTAATGTGATGAGAAGAACAAGCCACAAATCTTAAAGGCAAGAGACTGGATATGTGTTGTTATCCAAGCACATATCCAAGCAGATCGCATCACCAGCTGGGTGCTGCAAACTGCTCTGAGCATGGAAGTGAATGCAGATGTCAATGAGCCAAGGTTCCAGGATACACCAGAAGGTTACTACTAACCCCTAGTTGGGAAGCTGCAATCTGACTATTGGTAGTCTTTTAAGAGGACAGACAGCCATGCAAAACTGAGTTATGAGACCTATAACACTGTTGTGTAGCTGTCCTCACACAGTCAGTGTCAGCTGAAGGACTAAAAATTAAATCAGAAAGGCCATAGCACTCTGCTGAGCAAAACTAGGGGAACAAAAAAAGATTTGTTGGGAAAATCAAAAAAATATTTGTTGGGAGAAAAAAAATAGAATCGGCCTCATTGTCCCATTGGATAAAATTATGTCAGGAAGTGAGGAATGAAAAGCAAATCATTAGTTCATGTGAGAGAATACATTGGTCTCGTGGAGTGTCCCCTTGAGAATGGGCTGCAGCACAGAGTGGCTCTTTAACTGCAGCTCTAAGAGGATTTATCTCCAAGAGCAAAATAAACACAGGTTACACTGCCATGCCTGCAGTGCTGCTGCTGAGGGGCAGCTTGCACACTGCCCTGTGGTAGAAAAGTGAACGATGCTTCACCCAAACCACCCCGTATAAAACAGCGCTCTCGGGTTTCAGCTGTTGGGTAAGCAGGAGGTCACTCACCACAGAAATGAAACTCTGGCACACCTCAGCCTTCCCTCCCTGCTGCCATTGCTGCTTCCTGGCCTCGGAGCCTCCGCCGGGTTATTGCAGGGTAGTAGCTGTCTTCTGTGATTACAGTTTACTGCAGGGCTGCCATCCTCCTGGGGCTCTTGCCCTGTGACAAGGAGTACGGATTCAAGAATTAAACAACTGCTCTGATGGTCAGGTTGATATTTATAGGGAAGGCAGATTTTCCTGTGTTTCTTCAAGCAGGTTTTCATTTTATTGCTAACACAGCACGAATTGATTCGTGTGACCTCAGGCCCCTGGCTTTCACTTCTTAATTTAATGTTAAAGAAAAAACAGTATCTTACCCTCTAGCTTTCAAAATCTGGAGGCAGCAATCCAGATGTACCTCAGGGAATTGTATGATTATGTTCCCACAAGTGTGTGTTTATAATTAGGAGCACAGCCTATAATTTACCAAGTGAACCACTCAAAGTCAATTTCTCCATTGCAGCCAACAACTATTCCCAGCCAAGTTCCTTGTCACAGGAGGAATTCCAAAATGGGTGATCAGGCAGCAGTCAAAAAATTGCAATTAGTTGGGTTCCAAGTAGATAAGTTCATCAGGAATTAGCTATGTGTTAGAAAACAGACACAAATCCATATGGAAACTAAATGCATAGTTTCACTCTTGATAATCAGTGAAATATCCAGTATTCGGGTGGAATTGCAAATTTGAATTTCTTTTGTATGCATCTTAGAGGATCTCTGCATTGTTATTTTAGCACTGAGATGCACAACCTCAGTGCAGCTGCTGCAGATACACCAGAGATGTGACATTGCCTGTGCCCACACTCTCCACAGCCCCTGGGTGAAGCCAGGTGAGCTGCAGAGCACCTTGGTCCACTCTGTTTGTCTCAGCACTGACTTTGAGGGCCTCCCCCAGAATGGTCCTTCTCGTTTTTCCTCTCACAACAGAGAACTCCCAAAACAAGGAGGACCTGAGAGAGAGGAACACAACAGCCAGTGTTCACGCACCAATGTCACACACTTAACAGAAACTCTCATCACAGTAAGGCCAGTTTGCCTGAGTATCCTGACATGCCTAAAAGCAAAAAAATACTTACATCTCCTTGAGAGCAAGATGAGTGCTTCATTTCCATCTTATCTACAGGTGAAGAGAAGATGACTTCCCACCAGCACTGAGAGCTGAGTGCGAGGCAGCATACCAGGAAAAGATCCACCGTTGCTGAAAACCTGCTGGGCAAAGAGACAAATGGTCCTGTCCCTAATTCAGTCTGTTCACCACTCATAACACCACAGTTCTGTTCAAAGCCTCCCTGATGCTCTGTTTATTTATTTTCTCTGTTCTATCTTCAAGTTTTGTCCATTCCATTTAGCTCCTCAATCCCTCTATGACTCTTAGCCAAACATACCAAATGACACTGTTTGACCCAGATGACACTGATTTATTCAATAATTTAGGATGAAAAAAGTGCCCCTTAGAAAAGCCCTATGGCCTGTTGCTATGATTCTGCAGTGCCCTACAGCATTAAGTATATAATAAGTCATGTCAAGGATGGGATTGCAAATTTAAGACCAGTTTGCAGAGATAATATAATGAGCTGATCTCTTGTTCTGTGTAGATATACCTGATGTAATTTTTTTAAGCAAAATCAAGGAGGCAGATTTAAAAATGCTACAGGTACAGCTGTTGTATTCTTCTTACCATGTTTGTAATTTAAGCCAATTACACACCAGCAAGTTGCTGGAAGTCTTTTGTTTAGGCACCATCCTTTGACTTTACAGTCACACAGACAGGATCCAGCTGTGCACCAAGCAAAACTTGTTGTACCATAAACTAGATAAAGACTTTAATTAACATGTTATATAGGACTAGAGAAGCCAGTCATTAAATCTTGATGATAATAAGACCTGCATATCTGACTCATAATCAAGTTTTTTTTACTCCAGTGTTGCTGTAACTCAACGAGCATCTCAAAGATTGAAAAAAAATTCTCCACATTTTCGCTTGGAAGTTTTGTGCAATCACAAGTATTTTTATAAAGCTTATTTTATCTTTTCCATGACATATTCAGTTATTTTCAGAGATGCTCTCTCCCATCACTACAAATAACTATTCAAGTAAAAAAAAAAAAATATTGTAAATTATGAAAGAGTCACAGAACTGGAAAATATGCAAAGTACTTGGAAATAAAAGGCAATGCTACATGGAATTTTGTGGCTTATTATAAACTATTTCCTGATACATTAACTTCTGAGCACATATAAGGTCTCAGTGAAGTCATCAGGACTCCACTAGATCTCAGATGTTTGTTCAAATGGCCCTGGGAAGGGTGAAGACAGCAGGCTTTAAACCTCACCTAATCATAACAGCAAGGCTGCTTCAATAGATACTCTGCAACTTTCACAGCTATAAACATATTTTAACTCAGTAAAAAAAGCTGATTTCAAACACACACACACATATATATAGATACACATAGCACAGAGATATCGGGAGTATAACTGACATAATTACAAATCTAAGTACATTTGAGAGCTACTTCTTCCCTAGGCAATACTCTTACTATGACAATCCCATATACTTAAATACCAGCATGGTTTACACTAAAAATAGAAGGGAGAAGAGGATTCTTATAATTCAGCTAATAAGTGAAATCAGTACAATACTAAAAGGAGCAAATATGACCAGATGGACTGAATAGAGTTAGGGGCATGCCTGGAATGAGTAGTTACTACAAGGAGATGAAACCAAGAAGGGAAAAGGAAATTATGGCATCAGAGGAGAGGGCAATATGGACACTCATCTGCAATTTGTTAGCAATGTAGGTAAGGAGAGGGAGAAACTTCCTGCAATATGCTTAAGCACATTGAGCTTTGCTGAGCAGCCTCTCCAAGGAATACCACAGGGATGCACAAACTACAGCAGTCAGTGAAAAAGAGCAAACTAATGAGCACAAAGCCATATAGCAGCAAAGGATGTTCATTGCCTCTTATTCACTAGTGAATATGGACATTATGGAATATTAGTTAAGCTCAATATTTACAGGAATAATGATCCTAAAATCCACACTACTCTAAGGCAGAGTTGGAACGCACTTCTACAATCTCCCAAGTGAAAAAAGCCACACTGAAATCTGGAACTTTTGAAATTTTGCTGATATGCAGATCTGCTCTCACATGTGCTTGTTGAATCTGGATGTGGGTAGGGACAGCCATAAGCAGCTGGTTTCTGAAATTACACTTTTGGTAAGCTGAATCACAGTTTCTTCTCCATATCAGAATGCAACAGGCAGTCAGACAGCAGCTGACATGCAAATACCAAAAGCAAATCACAGTAGCTCAGAAAACTGAAATGAAATAAAAGACAGCTTGCTTGTGTCTATGGCTCTAAGGAGACAGAAAATACATAACTCTGCCAGAATCCTGTCCTGCCATTCTGGGCTCTCATATGCTACCATTATTCACAACACTTCTGTGCCTCAGTACTTGAAATACAGGAATCCCACAAATCCCAGCACAAAGCAACTGCTGCAGTATCCAGCCAAACCAGTGGAATCCCCCTCAGTCTGTGTTTATGCTTTCCTTTGGGTCCTCTAAACACTAGATTTTAAAACCTGACTTTTCAGTTGGATGCTGACGGCATCCACTGACTGGAAAGCAAATCCAAGTGCCCTCTTGAGAAGAACCATTTTTGTAGTTATTGATGAGAATCTGTTTTGCTCTGGCACAGAGTGGTACTTTGCATGTACTCTTTACCAGAAACCATCTCTGAGCCTAATTATTGAGGCTGATGCCTTGTCCACAAAATCAGTCACATTATTCTAAAGAAAGTGTAATTATTTTAAATAAAGCTAATTATTTCTGTATGGAAAGCAACAAGGAGTTGAGTTTAACTCAGCTGCAATTTGATTTTAGAAGTCAGTCAGGAATAAACTGACACTAAACTGAAAATGAGACTATTGGATTATTCAGCCAAATGAAATACAGCACGTTTATATACAGGTAGGCCTATGAAGGTCACACTTTGAGCAATAATTTACCCCAATTATTTTAGTAAATGCAGAAATTTCACACTAACTATAGATTTAGAGATGCTTTAGAGGATCAGGAATGATTTATATTCAAATCTTATCTTACCTGAGGACATAAGGTCCATAGAGTGACTCATGAGAAGCTTATTTAAATACCTTTTCTTCAGAAACTCATAATATTTTTCTCACATACAAACCTTCATTTGTTCAGAAAAACCAGATTTCCTTCTTCAGCTTTAATTTAAAATGAAACCCAAGCTGTAAGTAAAGGCAAATCTAATTTTAAGTCTGAGATCAATAGCACGTAGAAGAACACTTTTCTTCCCCAGGCAGTTGAACATAATTTATATTCTGCTTGCAAACAGTTATTTAAGAAACCCTCAATTTTTGATGTCATGTGTATCAATTAACATAGAATCCTGTTTTAATGAGAACAGCATTTAGAAATTAAATAAATCACTCTTTAGAGTATCATGGACAAAACTCTGCTGCAACACCAAAGAGAAGAAAGAACAAAACCAGACCTCAACCAGTGTGCAGACTCCTAGGTCGTTGAATGAGAAGACAGACACCAAATCCAATACCTAGGTCTACATCAAGACTTTACATCAAAGTAAATTAATTTTAATTTTTTTCATTTAATTGTAATGCTACTGCTAATCCTCAAAATTTTACAACAGACTAATAAATTGGTATCTCACCAGTCAGTGGAAAAGAACTAGTAGAAATTGCACATTCCTTTTCCAAAATTGTTTTTAAAAAAAGAAAAAAAAGAAAAAAAGAAAAAAAAAACTAGTGAAAGATATTTTACTCAGGCAAATAATTTCCTCTTCAGAGTTCTAGTGTACTACCCAGCAAGAAAGGACAGACACAAATTAATTGCTAATGACTTCCATACAACAATAACTTCAACATTTACACCTCACAAAATAGGAGATCTTCAATCTCAAAAAGCCTAAATCTTGCATCATGTTGTCACTTGTGATGACAAGTCAGAATCTGGTAGGCCTCTTACATATTTTATTCAGTATTCTGTTGAAAAAGGCTGTAGTTTCTGTGTTTTTCCTGTCACTTTAGTAGTTTCATATTAAAGTTACTAAAGTTTACCACTTCCAAGTTATTAAAAATTACCAGAAATTAAAGGAAACTTGAGTTTCTGAATGCCAGCCTAGAGTAGGTAGCTTGATCTCTGGCTGAGCATTTAGTAAACATCAGCAAGAAATTTGTGGAGAGCAATAAACTCCTGATTTGACAACAATACAAATAAGAAAAAGAAAATCTGCAGGACAGAGACTCCATCAAATGATTAAACCCAGGAGTGACACAAGTCAGAAGAATTAGGTACTAATCTGCAGTAACCTCACCTGCTTGATTCTATTGTTCAGTCATGAGAAAATTTCTGTGTTCACTACATCATCAAAAAACATTGCACTAACAACAAATATTGTTTCATGATTACTTTTTGATTCCTTCTTTCTCTAGTATTGCAATCCTCCAGTCTGAGCTCACAAAAATTACGCTGAATAGTTTGCAAATGAAGCTCATGGGATTAAGATGATTCCTGATACAGACTCAAACCACTTGCTACCAGGCCCATTTCAGATAATTTCTTAAAAGAATTGCTCTTGAACTCCTCTCTTGCTTCTGCAAAAGTTTAATTCTTCTGATAGTTAGGAACTTGACTTCCAATCCAAGTTTATTCATTGCCAATTCATGCTTATTGTGCCAACATCTACCTTGCACAATTTCCCTGGAGTTGGTTCTTTAGGCATACTTCTAAGGTAACACACCCATTCCCAGGCTTTACTTTCCTGAGCCAAAGAAATCTTCCCCAGAATATGCATTGTCTGCTCCCTGACAAGCCTGCAATTCCTTCTGCACCTGTTCCAGCCCAAAGAGGCTGTACATATCTGCACTTTAAGGGTTTTCCAGGGCCTGCAGCAATGGCCCCTGGAGCCACTTGCCCTCAGGCAGGGTGAGAGGAGCAGCAGCAGAGCGATGCCAGCCTGCAGGCATTGGGCAGCACAGGGCAAGTGTTCCACACCAGGGACCCCAGAGCTCTGCACCCCCAGCGGGGCACAGCCCCAGGGCTCTCCTCAGCAGGGCGCTGCTGGCTCTGTGCTGTCAGAGCATCCCACCCACACAAAGCATCCAGCAGCAGCAGCTGGGCACAGAGCCAGCCTGCACCCAGCAGGGCTGACACCAGCACAAAGCTGAATCACTCACATCTGACTGGTTCCCTTAGCCCAAGCCTGCCAGAACTGCAGCCAGTAAATCCTTCCTGAGCCAAGCTGGAGCCATGCAGTGTCAAACCAGATATCCCTGGCAGTGTGGTCCCCATTTACCTGCAGCTGAGGTTATGCACCCATAAATAAGAGAGGGTCAGCTGCCTGCCCCTTCTGAAACATCTCTGTATACATTTATTCTTCCTGTTATTTGGAAAACAGAAAATGTCTAATTCTAGTGTAACAGTACATGTATCAACACTGCAATCCAATTCTGCCAGACCCTGAAAGTCTAATATGGCTATTTCAGTAATGTTCTGATACTCTATGCATCACTGTCTGCCATTTGCTCTTTCACAAATACATATGATACATTATACAGTCTGCATGCTAGATTCTGAAATCCTTCAGCAGCTGCCCCCATGGATAATAATGCCAAAACTCATCAAGGTCTTGAAACAGTGGTGAGTACCTTTGTGTCCCTCTGGCAACACCCACCTGGTGTGACATTTGCTTTCTGTACCCTTCAGTCTAGAAGAAAAGTCATCTTCTCAGTCCCATCATGTCTCATAAAATAGATGAGCTAAATCATGAGAGCCAAAAGCAAGCAGCTGAGACCAGCTACATGCCACATGTAGTTCCTGACCTTAACTGAAGTCACAGAGTCTGCTACACTCCAGGGACAGGCCAATAAACTATCCTGGCTTTAGGAAGGAGACAGCACTCCAGTGATGCAGGGAAACAGGATAAAAAGGAGAAGAATGCAGAAAGGAAACAGGAGAAGTGGAACTCATTACAGGCAAATAACAATGGGGGGAAATGAGGGGAAGCAAAGGAATAGAAGAGTAAAAAAAAAACAAACAAACAACACAGATAGCAAGGATGGGGACCATTCCCATTCTGCCTGACACTCACCCCTATCCCAGTCTCCCTCTCCTGGTCTTTTGGGACAGCAATCAACAAAAGCCATGTAGTGAAACAGGTCTAGAACTTGCCCTCAAAACCAAGACTTCTGTAAAAAAAATGGACATGTATTTCTGAATTCACTTCAAACCCAAAAATTATCCAAGACAATTTTTTAAATGGTTACTATGAAAATTGAGAATCTATTCCTTGATGCAGAGAGCAAAATGGCCTTGTGACTAAAACACAACTCAGTTCCCAGTTCTGCCAATGAATCCTCTGCAGCTTTGTCACTTGCCTGTGGGCCTCAGTTCATCATCTGCACACCCCAAGATTTGCAAGAACCATCCAAGACTGTTTGAGACATTCCCACTCTAATCATGGAAGCCAGGAACAAGCACACCAAACTTTCAAACAAAAGAAGGAAAAATTCTAGGAACAGAAAAATCCAACTGCCAAGCACACAGACAAGAGAGATTTTTAATTTTATTAGGGAGGAAGACTGCTGAGGAAAGGGAGGAAAGAGAAGACAGAAGACTGACAAAAACAGAAGTGCTGAGTGTTCAATCATAGTAGGGAATACTCTAAAGAAGAATGAGAGCTGCATGCCCTGCCAAAGTGGTGCACACATTTGGAAACAAGATTTTCCAGATCAGGACCCTTGGCTCTCTTACTGCATTGCTGGCTGAGAATTTGCTGGTTTCAGCTGAAATACCAGACATGCAAGTTGGACTAAGATCTAAAGGTGCAATAACAGAACAGTTGCCAATGGGGTAAATGGGAAACACCAGAGGTCATTTTCAAAACAGAGGCAACTGTTTTCATTCACTTGAAAAACAAGTTCTTTTTGGTCCAAATCACTCTCTGCTGATAGTATATATTATGAACCAATTAGCATATAGCACAGACAGTGGAACATCCTTTCTAGTAGCAATTCCTATGGCTCCCTTTGTTTCAGGTCCAGTTTACATCAGTTAACTCTTGCAAGTGACGCCACCAAACATACACCAAAGGGCTGGTGACAGACACAGTAATCCATAAGCCACTTGTTCTGATAACTGCTGAGAATCTGAAAAATAGAGAAATACAGGGAACATGCAGCTTGTAGTAGTCTACATGAGACCCATGCCATGGTATGAGTCTGCAAGTATAGACTGCAGACAGTGGAATTAAGTCTAGTGCATTTTTTCCCTCCTGTAGGGGTGTCTGTGTAGGACTAGAATGCAAATTCTCCAGGGTTATCTGGGAATTGATTTGTGAAGTGAGATATAAGTGCTTGACTGGAGGTTTTACTGTCTGACTTTTTCTGTCACAAGCAAGTTGAGTGCAGACATGTCTTTATGTCTCTGGGCATAAAGGCCAATCTTTTCGTTCTTGCCTACTGCTGACATTTATCCCCTTGCTCTAACAAGATTTGCAAATCAGAAAAGGAGTTCTACTATAAAGTATCTTAGCTTTAACCAAGGGGCATTCAAAACAAAATCATGTGATGAAGTCTGTATTTGCCTCAGCACAGCTGCATCACTGCACAAAAGATGCAAACATTTTCCTCTATATATCACAACACTAAGTTCTGATTGCTCTGCAATCATATTCACTTTAACTGTATTTTAGCTATACATGAGAATAAGTCAGTATGTGAAAACTCCCACAGAATTGCAGCTCCCACCACTTTCAACCTCCTCTCCATGGAAACCCTCATTCCTCTCCTTTTGTATTCTTCTGCTCACACTTTTTATGTTATTGTTCCCTTCAACAATATTATCAACATCTTTTTCTAAGGCAAGATAAAAAAGTATGATTGCTCTGTCCTAGACAAGGTCCACCAGCAATCACACTATCTTTTTAATCAAAATCACCAGTCAACCAAAATGTGTTTCCAATGAAATTTCACCTCGCTTTGATAAACCACTCTCTATTAGTTTTATCAAGGTTTTCCCTGCTGCTGATTTTGGCTGATATGTTTGTAATTGACAACTTGACACAAGCCAGTATCTTTTCTGAATATTAATGATACAGTCTACTCCCTAACCCTTAGAAATGTAATGCTAAAAGCTAAACGTGTTATTTTTCCTCTCTCAGAATTCAGAGAAATGTTTTCAAGACTTTTAGACCTGACTTGCAACTGCA